CCTTCAAATGGGAGGGTGTTTCTTTGTCTTCCCATTATTTTTGAGACACTTCTTTTTTGCTTCTGATTCTTAAATTGATCTGTCTTGATTTCCTGACTTTGTGGTGTGAACTTCTATGGTAAGATATTGCTGTTTTTTTCTTTCTGGATCTGCCTCTGATGATGTCATATGTTGTCCCTGTCTGACCTTAGGCAGCCTGATTGAGACTTCCAGGAATCTGCTGTCTGTGACTGTCTCCTTCAGTTATTAATATAGTCACTCTGCACTGAGCAGTCAAGCTTAGACGCCACAAGGCAGGGCGGAATCCCCCCCGGGGGCTGGGTGATTGGGTCTTCTCACACTGCTGCTGCTCAGGGGAGTGGTCTGCCTGAGCCAGATGGCTGTTGCCTTATTGGGGAGAAGTCAGCACCGGGATCCTGCTGGCTACTCTCTCAGTTCTCTCCCCAAAGCCTCCTTCCCTCGTCTCTCCTATGGTGTCTCTAGCCCAGTCTAGCCCCGCCTTTGCCGGAGCCCAGGGTAAGTTGCTGCAAATAAAAGTCTATGCTTTGGCCATTTACCTGCCTTCTCAAGTCTCTACCAAACTCCTTACCAGTTCGTTTGTTCTAAAGCTGATTCTTCTGTCTGTCCAAGGTTATAAGGCTCTTCTTTTGCTATTGTTCAGTTGTTTGTCCCAGGTGATTTCTCCACAATTTAATTGTAATTCCAGGTTGGTCCTGGGAGAAGGTCAGTATGTGACTTCCATTCACTCCTCTGCCACAAAAAAAAAAAAAAAAAAAAAAAAAATCACTGTGCATTTTTTAGGACCAGTCTGAGTCAGGCAGTTCCAGCTTAGCAGGGAAGCATCTTAGAAGTATAAAATTACGCCCCTCCAATGCCTCTTCCCCAATTTTTGATAGCAAGGCTAAAATTGAAAGTAAGTGCACAAAAAAGGAGGCACCCAGTAAAGGCTAAGGAGCAGGGCAACAGTGGTTGTTGGGGTGCCTGAAGAAAGGGTGTCTTTAGAGGTGCTGAATCATTGGGGTTTTGATAGGGATCATATCAAATATGTTCACAACTGAGGCTCTGCCAGTCCCTGAACATGGATGTCTTTCCAATTTTTTTTTCACTTTCTGACAGGAACATTTGGTAGTTTTGAGTGTATACATCTTTCACCTCCTTAGTTAACTTTTTCCAAATATTTTATTCTTGCTGCTGCTATTGTAAATAAACTTGTTTTCTTAATTTTATTTTGGGTTTGTTCATTGTTGTTGCAAAGAAATAAGAAAGATGCTACATGCTGATTTTTTTCCTCCTGCAACTTTATTTATGAGTTCCTACAGTTTTTATGTGTATGTGTGTGTAAGAATCTTTGAGGTTTCCTTTTTATTACATTTTATTAATTATGCCATTACAATTGTCCTAATTTTTCCCCCTTTGCCCCCTCCACCCAGCACCCCCACTCCCTCTGTCAATCCTCCTGCAATGTTCATGTCCTTGGGTCATGTGTGTAAGTCCTTTGGAACCTCCATCACCTCTACTGTTCTTAACATCCCTCAGCCTATTCTGTAACTACCAATTTGTACTCTTAATCCCTTTACCTTTTCCCATATTTCCCCAAACCCCCTTCCAAACTGGCAACCATCCAAACGTTCTCCATATCTATGATTCCATTTGCTTAGCTTGCTTTTTAGATTCAGTTGTTGATGTTTATGTATTTATTGCCATTTTAATGTTCATGGTTTTGATTTTTTTTTTCTTTTTCTTAAATAAGTCCCTTTAACATTTGTTATAGTAATGGTTTGGTGATGATGGACTCCTTCAGCTTTACCTTGTCTGGGGAGCACTTTATCTGCCCTTTGATTCTAAATGATAGCTTTGCCAGGATAGAGTAATCTAGGTTGTAGGTCCCTGCTTTTCATCACTTCAAACACTTCTTGCAAATCCCTTCTGGCCTGAAAACTTTATTTTGAGAGATCAGCTGACAGTTTCATGGAAACTCCTTTCTAGGAAACTATCTGCTTTTCTCTTGCTGCTTTTAAGATTTTCTCTTTATCTTTAGCATTTTAATTATTATGTGTCTAGGTGTGGTCCTGTTTGGGTCCATCCTGTTTGGGTCCATCCTGTTTGGGATTCTCTGTGCTTACTGGACTTATATGCCTCTTTCCTTCACCAAATTAGGGGAGTTTTCTTTCATCATTTTTTCAAATAGGTTTCTAATTTCTTGCTTCTTCTCTTCTCTTTCTGGCACCCCTATGAACCAAATGTTGGTATGCTTGAAGAAGTTGTTCCAGAGGCTCCTTAAATTATCTTCACTTTTTAAAATTCCTTTTTCTTCTTGCTGTTCTGATTGGCTGTCTTTTGCTTCCTTATGTTCTGAACCATTGATTTCATTCTTGGCTTCATGCACTGCTAAGGTGGGGGCAGACTCTGTCCTGCAGAACTGCTCCAGGTCGTTGCAGATGGGGAAAATAAAAATAAGCGATTCCAGACACTTTCTTGGTCTGCCAGGGAAAGGGGGTGGTGATTCCCTCTAGTGGAGAATGCCCTGAGCCCCTGTGCACAATGGCTTTTATTGAGAGGGTTATCAATGGGGACTAGGTAGTAGGAATGAACAGGTAATCTCATTGCATTATTATGTTTATATTTACAGAGAATAGGTGATAGTTGAAGAATACAAAGGGCAGGAACACACCAATTTGCATGGGTCTGAAACGAGTAAACATAAGAGCACCAAATGGTTTAGGGTCAGGGTCTGTGAATAATGTAAAATTCCTTCCCAGTGTGAGCCAGCTATCATAGCTTTGACGGAAAAACAAAGCATGCTTCAAGGAATTTACTTCTAGGTCTAATTTCCCTCAGGAACCACCTAATCCATCCCAGGGCTGCCTCCAGTATTGTTTCAAGCCTGAGCCAGGAAGCTGGAGCAGAGCAGCCAAGAGATAAGGAGACTTCTTTCAGATAGAATGAGGACTCCAGCCATATCAAAGCTGAGGGGTGAGGGTCTTTTTGCCCTTTCTCCGTGTTCTCCAAGTCCTTCCCTGATGGTCCCTAGGCAACTGTGTTTGTCTCAGGTTGTGTCTTCCATCAAGAAGTCTTACCTGTCATTGACTAACCAGCCATCCTCCTGGGCCAAGAAGGGTGATGTGAAGGAGGCAGGGGCTATGCCCCTGCCAGGGGAACAGGTTTTGCCTCCTCAGTGGTCTATTTTCCCAAGACCTCCTTGCTTAGCTCCAGCCTTGGGGCTCTCTCACTTGTTGGCGGGGCTACAGTTCCTGAAACCAGGCAGGATGGTTGCCAACACACTCCACTGTTGATTCCCTGTACATTGTTATTTGTATCAACTAGTGTATCCTTCACTTCTGATTCGATCATTTTTATGCTGTTGACTACCCACTGAGTTTCTCGAGCATCCTTATAACCAGTGTTTTGAACTCTGCATCTGATAGATTGCTTATCTCCATTTTGTTAAGCTCTTTTTATGGAGTTTTGAGCTATTCTTTTGTTTGCGCCATATTTCTTTGTCTCCTTATTTTGGCAGCCTATCTGTGTCTTTTTCTATGTATTAGGTAGAGCTACTTTGACTCCCTGTCTTGGCAGTGTGTCCCAATGTAGTAGGTGTCCAGTGGCACAGCCTCCTCTATCACCCAAGCTGGGTACTCAAGATGAGCCCTCATGCATGCTGAATACTCCCTCCTCTTGTAGTTGAGTTTTGATTGCTGTTGGCAGGTCAATGGGAGAGATTTACCCAATCCAGTCAGCTGGTAGGACTGGCTTGACCACTGGCCACCAACCACCTCTGTCTATAGCTTGTAGAGGTGGTGGTGCTCCAGCATAGTTGAACTGTCTGCAGGGTGCACAGGCTCTGAGGTTTCCTGAGTGGGGTAGGCCCAGGTCAGCCACCACCTCTGTTTTGCCAGGGGCCACTTGGCATAAGCTATAAAGCATATGGCTACTGCTAACCCTGGGACTGGGGCCACTTAGCAAGAGGTACAGGGGCTAGGCTCAGCTGTTGCTTGTTTGAGTGCACTTAGGAAGGCCTGAAGCCTGCACCTAGACAAGCCATTCATATGGAAAGGCCATTGTTAACAGCTTGGGTGGATCCCTAAGTTGCAGGGGGTGGAGACTTAGGTAATTACCAGGACAGGGCAAACTGTGTGAGCCAGAATGATGGAGGCTTAGATATGGTGCCATTACACTGTGGCTCTGTGTTGGGGAGGGTTCAGAAAAGGAACAATGGCCACTGCCTGCAGTTCTGTCAGGGCAGAAGATGTCCCCCAGCTCTCATCCTGATGCCAGGCACTTCAGTTCCTCCCTGTATGTCACTGGTGTCCTTCAAGCTGCTGCCTCAGTGCTAGAGCCCAGAGGGAGTGAGTCTGAGTAAACCCATGTGTGGCGCCCTTTAAAAGGAGATGCCTGAAAATCCTGCCTGGGATGGTAATGGAACCTGTGACATCAGCTTCAGGAAACTGCACACCCTCTTGTTTTTCCACTTCACACAAACCCACATGTGGAGGGATTCAGGTGGGATGAGGCCCCTGTTTGTGCAGGGAGCCTGACTCCTAAGTGGAAGCCTCACTGGTCAAAGTGCACCTTCCCCTCCCTGGTCAGGGCGATGCCCAAGGACCTGCAGCTGCAGCGCCCCGAAGCCTCTGCTGCCACCCCGGCTGGAACAGAGATGTGCACCAGACCCGCAAAGGACGGGCCTGAGATGGAGCGTCTCTCCCCAGGTTGCTCTCCTCCCCACCCCCGATCTCAGCAAGCCCTGCCCTCCCCTCCAATAGAGAAACCCCAGCACTGGGAGAAACGACAATGCCTTTATTTTTCAGACACATGTGGCCACTGTTTGAGTGTCCAGCTCCCACAGGGCCAGTTCACCTGCTCCCAGGCCTTTCCATATAGTGCTACAGGTCACAAAGTGCGTGGTTGTGAGTGTAGATAAGAATCCATGGAGAAGACAGAGAAACAACTCAGTGTTTGGTTATGAGGTCAGAGGGAGGGCTGGGTTTAGGGGTCAACAGGAACTAAGAATCACAGGGCAATAGAGTGAGCAGGGAGGTCACCGCACACCAAAGGGCCAGGGACAGCCCCAGCCCTACCACCTGAGCCAGGTAGGGGGCAGGAGCAGCCCCGCTATGGGGATCTTTAGAAGCACCCCCACGTTGGAGGTCTTTAGGAGCAGCTCTAGTTTGGAGATCTTTATTCACATTCTCAGGGAACTCAGCTGTGTGGAACGGCCCAATCCTATTGGTGTGGTTCAACAAGGAGTTGGAAGGTTGGGCCATGCAGCCCTGAATGCTAAGTACAGAGGACTGTCCACCTAGAGAGTGAAGACTGAGTCAGCGGGGTCTCAAAGTAGTACACACTTAAATTCCTAAGGCCCGGGAATCCCAGACCTTAACACTTCCCCACTCCCCTCCACCCTTGGATCTCAAAGTCTGGGTCCTCTGCCCCCTGTAGCCTCAAGTCCAACAGCCAGGGCCTCAAGCACCCTTCCACCTCAGCACCCCTGAATTCCGGTACTCATCCCCTTTGTTCTTAAGATCTGGCCTTCATCACTCACCTTCTTCTTCAAGACCAATATAACCTTTATAACAATGAGTGGTGCCCTTGGGGCACGAGACATTTTTAGAGTCTGTACAGAATCCACCAATCTGCACGCAGGCGGGACACTGCAGGTCTCCTGGGGCAGGGGCAGCTATGGGGCAGAAAGAGGTTTCAGGTACAAACTGAACCTCAAGCTGCTCCAAGCTGAAGCCACCCTCTGTGAGCCCAGAGACTCTTTGTCCCTGGGGCCCCATCTCTCCATGTCCCTTTTCTCCCCCAGCCCCTTGGGTCCCCTACCTGGACCAGGGAGGGAGTTCAGCAGGACACTGGTACTGCTGGCATTGTTGCACCCGTTGGAGGAGCAGAAATGGACATAGGAGGCAGCAAGCACTCCGGGGGGCCCCGAGTGGATGGAGACAGTCTGGGAATCCGGTGTCTCAGCCTTGCCGCAGCCTTTGCTCCCCACAATGAGTGATCTGGGTCCTGTGGGCGGGAGTGGGAGACAGTGAGAGCTGGGCTGAGGAACAGGAGGCTCGGAGGGAGACAGGAGTCAGCGAGTCAGCGATTCCCGGAGGCTTAGCAGGCAGAGGGTGAGAGCGGGTTCCCTGGGTAGAGGAGCATAGGCCGTTGCAGGCCGGGCCCAGAGGAGCCCGAGCCTGGGCCCTCCCCCAGTTCTGTCCCTTCTCAGTTCTTGCTCAGATGTCACCTTCTCAGTAAAGCCTTCCCGATCTCCCATTTTTCAAACTGCAACCTTCACCTCCCTCTGTGCATCTCCTTTCACTCCTGGATTTTCTTTTTCCTCCCCGCCACATAAATGTGCAGGGAGGCAAACCCCGTGATTTACAGATGGGATGCTTTACAGAGCCTGGCCCTCAACAGGTGCTCAGTAAGGCCCAATGTCACTGATGTTACTTGCATCAGCCCTGTTCTCACACCTTTGCGTGGATTATCAAATATTTCATGATGACCCAGGACAGTAGCGTGACTGCCAACACCTAGCACCCAGTTTTCAGAAGAGGAGAGCAAGGTGCAGGAAGAGGAAGAGTGAGGTGGAGCATTCCAGGCATTGGAATCAGGCAGGAAGTACAGGGGACAGAATCCAGGACGGGGGATCCAGGACGCTGTGCAGTGGTCCCACCCTGGTGCACAGCCCACGCACCTACATCTATGAGCAGAAGTGTCTCCTGACACACCTCCTCAAAATCACATGTCACGTTCTTAAATGCGTCCCATTCCATGGGTTCCTTAGTCAGGTTTGGTTTAATCTGTTGCATGGTCCCCTTTTGACAGGTCCGAAATGCTAGAAAGAAGAAATCACAAGGTTTGTGTCAGCCCAGGAGCAAGCCATGCCTGTCCTTCCAGATCCCATGATTGGGAAGGTGATCACGTTCTTGAGTCACACTCAGGTAACCTGGACACAGTCACTTGATCTCAGGTTGTGAAGGGACCTTTGAAAGTTGAGCCCCGCCCCCTTTCCTTGCCACCACTTCTGCTCCAGCATCTGCAGGGACCTTGCTCAACACCCTTGAAGGCTGCTCCTCCCAAGCCCCTCGGAGTGTGGGAAGGAAGGATGGAACGTTCTTAACCTGAGCCCTCTCTCCTTCCCTCCTGAGGCTCAAGGTCCTCATCTGGATAACGAGGAGCGTAGACTGACACCCTACATTCCTTTAACTGAGAAACCCTCTGTGCCAGACAAAGTTCCTCCAGCACCTAGTGTGTGTGCTGAGCATTCACTCTGTGCCCAGCTGGGGTGGTTGCTTTCCATGGATTTGCCCATTTAATCTTCCCGAGGAGCTCTCTCCTCTGGGTTCCCTCATTGCCTCACAGTGAGCACCAAAGTAGGTGGTCTGATTTTCCTCCTCCTCCCCATTTTTGAGATGGAAGACAGGGGCAGAGGAGTGGTGAAGTGATTTCCCAGTGTCCCACCACTAATAACTAGCTCAGCTGGGTTCTTTGGGGTGAGGGATGGGGAAGACAGTGTTTGAAGACCTTGCTCGACCACCTTGGCCTCTGAGGTCCTTGGGAGTCCAGTTGGAAAACTGGGAGCCTAGACCTTCACCTACAGCCATCACATCACCAGCAGGGATTGTGTCCCCTGACACAGGTCTCCGGGCTGATGACACAGCATCCGCCAACATGTGTAACCTGCACAGCGGCCTCATGAAGGAGGACGGCTCATTCCCCCCTTCACACACCACAGCTCGTGCCTCCTGCTGCCCTCCTCCCAGCCTGGGTGCCGCTCTCCCTGCCCCCACCTCCCACGTGTTGGTCAACAGTAGCTCCTGTCTTGCAGTCGCTCATGTGGAGAACATTGCTGCCATTCTTAACAATCTCCATGTCTCACATCTTTTGGTGCACCCATCAGGATATCCTGTGGCTTAGGCTGAATAATACCCCCAGAACCTGGCCATTCCTCACCACCTCTGCTGTTTCCATCAGAGTCCAAAAAGCCAGTGGCTCTCACCTGTTTCGTCCTGAGTCCCCTGGGGGTCCACACCCCCACACCCACATCTCACTTACTCTATTTCTCATTCAGCAGCCTGAAGAATCCGCATAAAAGCTATCAATTCATGTGACTCCTCTGCTCAGAAGAGTCACATAGGTCCCTGATCCACTCACAATAAAATTTAATGTCCTTAAAAAGGTCCAAACGCCCTGCCTCTCCATCCACATGTCCTGCTCTGCTCTCTATTGAGCACGCTTCTGGAGCTGCACTGGCCTCTAGGCTCTGCCTGGAACACCCAGCAGGCCCCCGCCCGCCCCACGGCCGTCCCATGTGCTCCTCTGTTCCCGACTGTCTGGAATCATCCACCCCTCCTTGGGTTTGCTGAAAGAGGTTCCTACATGAGGGGATCCTCCAAAATGGTTCAGGGGCACAGCCCAGAGAGGGACCACATCTCCCTGACTGAGACCTCGGCTCTTAGCCACGGCGCTCCCCTGCCTGTGCCGACCCACCGCCCTCACTGGCACCGCGGCCCAGTTCCTCAGGGGGCCAGGCAAGGCCGCTCTCGTTCCAGCCCTTCGGTTCTCCTTCAAGGGGCTCCTGCTGTGGCCTGTTTTGGGCACCTGTGCTCTGGCACCCAGCTCACTCCCAGCCCCAGGCCTTCACAGGAGCTGCCTGTCACCCAGGAATGGCCTTCTGTCTCCGTGACATCTTGTGCCCCAGCTTCTGACGTCTGTTCTTGCCATGGCCCAGTAAGTGTTTGGTAAACTGCTGAACTGAACCAAACCATCCACGGGAAGGCAAACGCATCTCCCAGGATCTGACTCCAATGTTGAAAGGTAACAGAATAAGTTTACACATTAGGAATACTTATGTGTGGCATAGTAGCTGTTTTTTATGTGTCATGTGTGTGGTTTGTGTAGCATCTGTGCATGGTATGTGGGGAACTGTATGAGGGTGGGTGTATGCGGTATGTGACATGTATATGATGTATTTGTATGGTATGTGTAATGTATGTGGTATGTGTAATGTATGTGGTATGTGTTTGCTGCTAAGGTGTGGCACAGTGTCAGTTTTTTGTGTCTGTGTTTAGTTTGTGTGTGGTGTGTGTGTCATGTGATGCGTTGTGTGGTCTGTGTGTTGTGTGTGGTATGTGGCGTATGAGGTTTGCACTGTGTGTTAGGTGAAAGAAAGCATGAGTGTAGTAAGTGATGTGTTGTCTGCATGTAGCATTGTGAGTCCAGTTATGTGTATTGTGCATGTGTGTGTCTGTATGGTATGTTGTGTTGCACGGGTTACAGTTGATTTGGTTCAGGAGCGCCTTCTGGACTAAGAATGTTACCTAGTCCCAGAGAGAAGGGTCACACAACTAAACAGAATTAATCAAAAGGAGAGACTCAGACTGTCCCTACGTGGTCAACATATTTCCATGTTTCTGCTCCCAGGAGAAAGGCTAACTCCTACCCCCAGCCTCCCTGCCCACTCCCGCACCAACACCCATCCCAACACACGCCAGGCCATGCCCGGCCTCCCTGGCCTTGCACCCCTGATCCTGCTGCTGGAATAGCTCTGCTGAGGTCACCCACGCCCACCTTGTCCACCTGAAAACTGGCAATCACTCCCCAGGCCCAGCAGCACCCGTCCTCTTGACGAGACCTTCTCAGGCGGAGCCGGGGAGCCCTGCCTGAAAACAGGACGCTTATTCCCAGGGCCGGGCCTTTGCACATGCTGCCTCCTCTGCTTGTTCACATCCTCTTCCTCTTCTGCTAATAAACTGCAGCTAATCTTTAAGACTCGGCTCATAGGTCACCTCCGCTGTGAAGCCCTCCTCGGTGCCCCACCCTTGGGACATTACTCTTCTCCCCCTCGGAGCGCCCCAGACCCCCTCCCCCCAGCCCTGTGACCATCTGCCTCTGCGATGTCTCGGCTCCCCGTCCTGGAGGCCCTTGAGGGCAGGGCCAGGGCCGGAGTCCTCTGCAGCCTCCGAGGGAGACCTCGGAATCCTGCACTTCTCGTCCTGAGCTGGCCCTCCTGTTGCCTCAGGCGGGAAACCTTGGTGTCGGTGACACCCAGGCCCTGTGCCTAAGGCTCCCAGCCTCGCCGGAGGGGTCCCAGCACGGAGGACTCTGCTGAATCCACTCAACATTCCCCTGGAAGGCTTAAGGGCTGGGTGCTGTGGGCGGATGAGGAAACTGAGGTTCGGACAGGAAGGCCCTCTTCCCGCTCTGCTAAGTCCCCAGTCCCCTCCCAGCCTCCTGTGCTTCTCACTGAGACACTCCAGCCCATAGTGAGTCTGCCCAGTGCACGGTCAGGCTGCATTTGTGTGGGTGAGTGGGGACACCCCCACAATGTCCCTGCTTGGCTCCTGCTGTCCCAGTCACACCTGAAGCACCCTCGGTTTTCTCTCTGACTTTTCTTCCTAGGCTGCAGGGGTGCTCTAGTACCATGGGTGGGGGATGGGTGAGGGTGGGGTAGGTAGGGTGGATGTGAAGAGGTGAGAGACCCAGGGCTACTCCAGGTCGAGAGTGTGGGGAGAATAGAGCTGAAGGCAATGAGTCTCTCCCAGCAGGAGAACCAGGCACTCTGCACTCGTTTAGCGTCCAATGAATAAGCAGAATGCAAAGCAGCCAGCCCTGTGTGACATTTGACCTTTCTCTTTGTTCCTTGCTCCCTCCCTTGTGGACAGTCTGCCCTAACTTAGTTGGCCAGTCCCAGTGTCATTTAAAAACATACCAATGAGCTCCAGTCCCTTATCTGTCCCCTGGACTGTGTGCCCTCTCTCTCCCCTTCAGCGGGACACTGCGTTCTGTCATCCTCTCCTCAAAGCATCAACCAGGACAATCCCACATTTTGCACATGACCGAGTGAGTAATAAACTTCTTAATTGCTTGTGGAGGCTAGTGCTGGTGGGATGTGTTGGATGCTGGACTTTCACAAGGGTCATTGTATCCGAAGGCTGTGGGGGGCAAGGCACAACCTCATCTTCCGGGGGTGGGACTCACCATCAACATCACAGTTTTCACTCACAGACAAGGGCCCAATTTTCCGAGTCTCATTGAGCAGGTTGCAGGCTGCTTGGGACATGCATCCTTGGACTCTCAGATTGGGGTCGACACCCTCTGTGAGAAGGGACCAGGCAGAGTGAGAGAGGGTGAGGTGCCGCTGCTGGGACCATCCAACCCTGAGGAGCCAGACCCACCCTCCTCTGCGCCCCAGGTCTCAGCTACCCTCCCTGCCTTCAGCGCCGGCAGGGACCCGATGTCCCAGCTCACCTCCCCTGAGCTGCAGGATCCCGTTGTAGCAGTGCGTGTGCCCGACGGGGCAGGTCACCTCTGTTGCAGATTCACAAGTTTCCATAGACAAGCAGACTGGGCACCGCACGGTCCCTGGGACTGGGAGGTGAGAGGGAGGAAGAGAAGACTGAGCTGTCTCTGTATTTGGATCTGGTGCCTTCTACCCACCCTCTTTTGCTGGCCCCCTCAATCAACCTCCTCGGTCTCCCCAGACTTGTCCTACTCAGGTTTCTCTCACATAGGCCTGGAATGCAGGAAATTGGGGTCATGTGGCTGGAGAGAGAACAAGAGTGGGCATGGGGTCTGGGAGGGGCACCAGGGATTGATACAGGAGGAGTGTCCTGGGCATAAACAGGGCAGAGTTCCCCTCCAACTATCATTACACAGTCCAAGCCGATAGGATGCCCCAAGGAGCAGTGAAAGGCAGAGCATCACCCCAAACCCAGTTGAGGATACAGACAATGACAGTGTGAAGTAATAGGCTAAGTTCACTTTGGAAGAGGAAATACTAAAACCCTAAATGAACATGAGTGAACCAAGCCCAACAGCACAGACAAGGGAGCGTGGCCCAGGTCCGGGCCATCGCCAGGGTCGGAGGTGCAGCCCTGGGGGCTGCCCAGGCCTGTGAGAGGAAGCTGTGCTGGGGGGGGGGGGCGCGGCGGGGAGAGTCCTGGGGAGTGGACACAGGCCGGGTGGCAGGGCGGGGTCTAAGGGAACAGTCCCTCTTTGCTCCCCTCCTCCCCGCAGCCCCTCTTCCCTCCCCCTCCTTCTCTCCCCATTTGTCTCACATGTAGGAGGAGGTGGGGTCGAGAGAGAGCGGGTGCTGGAGAGGTCATTGCAGAGGTCCTCACGGCGACACACACGGGTGTAGGAGACAATGGACAGGCCAGGGCCTTCCCGGTGCCGGGTGACACGGGCCTCATGGTCCTCCTCCTGGGTACAGCCCTTGGTGAGCACTAGGAGCACCTGGGGTCCTGGATGTCAGAGGAGGGGCCGGGTGAGGATCAGGACTCCGGGGCCTAGAGGGAGGGTCTGTGGATGGGGTGGGAGCTGGGGAGGAGGTGCCTGGGCCCCCGGGGATCCTCCTGTGGAGGCGGGGACAGCTCCTGGTAGGAGGGAGGGGGTCTCCTGAGTCTCCACACAGAAGGCAGGCAGGACGGGTCAGGAGGAGGGCGATGCCTGCACAGGTGAGGGTGGCGGTCACGCTTGGGGTCTGTGGGGCCCCCCTCACCATTCTCTAGGAGCATCACCGTGTCCTGGCAGCCCCAGCCCTCCCTGCAGTCCTCCTCGCCAACGGTCCACGTCAAGGGCAGTTCTGTTGCCTCCCTCACAGCCATTGCTGATCCTGAGTGACAGGTCAGGGTCTGTCCTCCTGAGACGAGAACAGGAAATCCACCTTAGCCCACCCTCCCAGGAAATCCCCCCCAAGACGGGGTCTGCACTCACCGGGCAGCACCAGGGTGAGGCCCAGGAGGGCTGGCAGCAGGGCCGGGCTCATGGTCAAGGCAGCAGCAACTGCTCGCTCCTGCTCTTTCTCCCAGGAGACTGAGCCCTTTTATACCTCTCCTCACCCAGGCAGCTGGGGAAGGGTGGGGAGCGGAGGGCCTTGCTGAAGGAGGCCTGGGCCTATCCTCTGATTCTCACCAGCGTAAAGGTTGAGAAACCTGAGTCCTTCCTCCTCCCTCAGACCCAGAAGTCCAGCCCTTTCCTCCCGCAGACCCAGGAGTCCAGACTCCAGACCTCACAACAGTTAAAAACGGAGGCACCCTGACCCCCAGCTTCTGTTGATCCAGACCCCCAGCCCTCTTTCCTCCTGAGCCCAGCTGTGCAGTCCCCCACCCCCTCCTTGTTCCAGGGTAGTTTCTGAAGGCAGTTTCCTCATTTTTCCTGGCAACCTGGCCGCCTTCTGGCCCAGGTGGGGAAATGGCCCAACTGCCCATGAGGACATGGAGCCATGGGTCTTGGCTGGTCCCTATGGCTTTTGTACCTTAACGTCTGCTCCCCACCCCCAAGATTTATACCTCTCTTTTCTTTCTCTTTCCTTCCAGTATGGCTTCCCTTTTTCATGACCTTCCTCATGCTTTCTCTCCTTCTTTCTTCTCTTTTTCTCTCATCCCGCTTCTTCCCCCATCACCTTCTCCTTCTCCTCTTCCTCCTCCTTCTTCTTCTGTTCTCTCCCCTCCCAGCACAACATGGGCTTAGGGTTTTCAGTTCATGCCACCTGGGAGAAAGCTGAATATTAAGGGGAGAGTTAACAGCTAGGAAAGAACTAGGATATTCCTTGACAAAGCAGTTTATCTGCTAGAAGCAGATGGGAACAGCAGTGTGCTAAGAAAACTAGGTTTTCAGAAAAACAGTATCAACAAATCCTGCCTCATAATGTTGGCCTATTATTGTGGTGCAAATACTCCTGCCACTTCTGATTTTGAAGCCAGTTTAACAACCAGCTTGCCAAATCCTAAATATCTAACAACAGGTTTTACAGGCGTGTACAAATCACTTCCAGCCCACTGGGTAGGAGGGAGACAGGAAAGGGTATGGAGCTTAGGTCAGGGAATGCAGAGGCTGCAAAGGGGGAAAAGTTAGGGCTAGAACAACAGGAGAGGGGAAAGAGAAGTAAATGGGTAACTCACAATGGTGTGTGTATTTTTGACATTTTTATACACTCTGTTTTTATTTAGTTTGCAACTTTCAGATGTGCCACACAGACACAGGTGCTTCTCTTATCTCCCACAGAGTCTGCACAACTGCCTTGGCATATCGTGGGTGCTCAGTAGTACTGACTGGATGGATGGATGGATGGATGGATGGATGGATGGATGGATGGATGGAGAGGAGGAAAACATGGCCCTCTCTTGTATAGATTGTACACTTTTGAAATACCACCCCCTTCCCAACGATTCACAAGTTTGCTGTGTGAGTGGCGCCCTCTGATGTTGTGCGTGGCCTGAAGCAGGGTCCCTGGATCAAGAAGGTAAAGAAGGTCGGCAAATGGGCACCCAGGGTCACAGGTCACCCATTAAATGTCTTGTTTTAGTAAGCAAATATTTACTGAGGCTGGACTTTGTGCCAGGCACTGTCCTCTTTGCTGGGGACACAAGAAGAACAACAAGAATAAGGGCCCCTTTGATTTTGTTGAGCTCACAGTCTAGTGAGGGAGACAGACACAAAACAAACACATGAGCACAAAACAATTTTAGGTGGTGCTGGGTGAGGGGCAGGTAATATGACAGTAAGTGACTCAACTGGGAGCAAGGAGGGCCTCCTTGAGGAGGTGACTTCTGAGCTGAGGGAAAGGTAACAAGAAAGAGCCTGCCATGGAAAGACAGGTGGGAAGAGTGTTCCAGGCAGAGGGGAGAGCGTTTGCAAAGGCCCTGAGGTGGGATCAAGCTTGGCTTTTGTGAGGGTTAGAAAGAAAGCAGGCCTGGGCTGCCGTGGCGGAAGGGGGAGTGCAGAAGACAGGAGTGGAAAGGCTGGCAGGGGCCCGGCCAGGCGGGCTGAGTCAGGAGATTAAGGCAGCCCTTCTGGGAGCCCTGCGTCGGTCCCAGGGCAGATGCAAAGGCTGGGTGTGGCGCTGTTTTGCAAACGACCTGACAGTCCCTGGTGTAAAGTTCTGTTGGCTTCCTGGCCTGATTCTGCTGCCCCCTAACTATGGAGTCTCAGGGCTTTCACTTCCCGTCTCTAACTTCATCCTTCTCCTCTGTGAGGTCAGTGTAACGATTATCTGCATGTCATGGCTGGAGGATAATCTCTGCATAACCTAAAGTGGATACTCAACACATGATAAAAATAGCTAATATTATGAGCTCTTATTCTGTCCAAGCTGTAGTCCAAGCTTTGTATGTTTCAACTCATTGATTACTGCCTACAACTATGAGGGAGGTCCTAATAATTATCCAGTTAAATAGGTAAAGAAACTAAATTCCAGAAAAGTAAAGTAACTTGTTCAAGGTCATATGGTGTGGCAGAGATAATTACCCACCAAAGATCTCTGCTCCCTTCAGGGTGTAGAGCTCTTACTAAGTAATGAATGGCCAGCTAAGAACTACACTTCCCAGCTGCCCTTGCTTGTAGGTGGACCATTTGACTAATTTCTACCAATGGGATCTGGGCAGAAATGACAGGTGTCAATCTGAGCCTGAGTGATTAAGAAGCAGGTGTCCCTCCCTCTCCCATCTACGTGGCCGTCAAGGGTGACTTTGGAGCGACACTCAGAAGACAGCACCGCCTCCATCCGCCTCAGTCCCTGAAAGTGTGAGGAGAGCGGAGCACCCCTCCCCCCGCAAACCCTCCCCCGAGGGGACATGTTGCAAGTGAGAAAAAAATATATATGATGTTAAACCACAAAAATTTAATTTCATGGTGTATTTGTAGTAGCAACTAGAATTTCTAATACATGACACACAGCTTAGAAATGCTTTTTTTGGGGATAAATGTCCTAGAAGCAGAGCCTGAGACAGAACTTTTTCTTCAAGCGCTTTTCTGAGGGAGTGTTTTCAAGGAAGGGGAGTGAGGGAAACAGGTGGGGAGAACAGGGACGCTAAGTTCAGTCCCACACACGGCACCACACAGTTGGAGCAGCCGTGAAAGAACACCACCCTTTCACACCCCCACTCCATCAGCCATTGGCCAAGGTCTGCCCCTGAGTGGAGGGAGTGGTGAGTGTGTGGCTAGTGGCTTCCACTGGGTGCGGTCGATTCTCCAGGGAACAGGCAGCTGTGAGGTGTTGTCAGGCCAAGCCAGCTGGGCAAGGGCATCTGGGTGGGACACGGTGCACCTACTCCAGGGCTGGGGAGGATCTGACCCCAGGGGCCAGGCTCTAACCATGACACCTGCGTGGAGTTCTGTGAATTTCTAGGAATATCAGCTTCATCACAAGAACACAAAAACGAACAACGACAAACACTACCTTACGTCACCAATTGTATACAGCGCCAGAGTCGAGAGCTCTAATGCGCTCAGCCAGCTGTGCCAGGCCTGCTTTCTTACTTTCCTTTCCTTTTCATTGGCTGCGCCAATGCCCACAACTGCCTGCTTCCACAGAGGAGAGGATCCAGCCCGCCAAGGCCTCCAAGTTGCCTGTGTCCCAGGGAGAGTCAGTTCCGGGCCCCTCAGCTCACAGTCTGGCAAACTCATTCTGCTTTCTTCTCCTTCCCTGGCTGCTCGGCTCGCCAGGTAGGAGAAGGCTGGGTCGTGCCAGAATCTGCTCTCAGGATTTACCTACAGATGACAAAGCCAGGCCCTTTAGCATTTCCTTGGGGCTGCCTCGATATTTATCTCCTGGAAACACACTTCCCCCTGAGACTTCCTTAGTGACTCACAGGTCAAGTACTTCCCCTTTGGGTTTCCCCAGAACCAGTTCCTACCTCTGTCACTGCCCTCATCTTCCTGGGCAGTGACTGTCCCCTTCTCTCTTCTTGTTTCTAGGTCCTGAACAAGACCCCACACAAGGCCTTGTTCACATAGGAGAACTATTGGAGGGTCCAGAGGGGCCACCTATCTTTAAAGAGCTATTTCTTTTTGTTACCTAATGTTTTTATTTGGAATATTTCAACTTACCAAAAGGTGCAAGGACCCTCATTATCCTTAGATTCACCAATTATTAATATTTTGCTGTATTGGTTCACACACAGTTTTAAAATATTTTCAAATTTAAAATACAAGTTGTAGACTTTGCTAGTCTTACTGCTAAGCGCTTCAGCAAGTACCCCGTTAGGAATAAAAACCGTGTGCTATGTAACCCCAAGCCCGAAATCATACTGCAGTAATTTACATCAGTACAATACTGGGATACATTTGGTCTGTTTTCAATTTCCCTCCTTTGTACCAATAACATCCTTCACATTGTTTTTGTTTTCGACCAGGGAGACAACCCTGGGTCACACACTGACTTCACTGGCTCATCTCATCTCTGTGGCCTCTTTCAGTTCAGAAGTGTCTCCATGCCTTTGTCCCCAGTGAAAATGAGTGTCACATTTCACTTACAATGTCCCCCATCCTGGATTTGTCTATTTCTACTTGACGAGTCACTTAAATTGTTTTCCTACATGAGGGACACTGCGTCTCTCCCAGTGCATCACATTGGAATTGTAACATCACTTTGCTCCATTTTGGGCTAGTTCATAAGTAATCTGTGGGGTGAAGCACTGAGGCCATCTGAACACTCCAGTCCCCACCAAGGATGACAGTCCTATTTCCTTGCACATCCTGTCCCAGAAAGTTTTCAGAGAATCCATCCTTAACAACCCCAGCTACATAACAGCATATCAGTCGCTGATGTGCAGAAGGTCACAGGAGAGTCCAGAGGAAGGTCAGTGTCGCCAGAGAGAATCAGAGAAAGAAAAGATGCTCCTGGCAGCTCCCGTCCACCCGGGGTCAGCCCGGGGATTCTCTCCGGGAGTCGATCAGTAATAGATGCCTCTTCCCTGACCCGCTCATGTATCCTAAGATTTAGGTCAGACGCTGTGAATAGTTTATGGTTAAAACACTGACAACCTG